TAACCATATATCTCCAGTCGCGATGAACTTGTCTTGCAACAAATTTGTATGTCCATTAAAGCAGGCGAGAAGATTGGCGTCTGCGGGCGGACAGGGAGTGGAAAGACGTCCCTTATTATGACTCTCTTCCGGCTCGTGGACATGCACAGCGGGACAATCAGAGTGGATGGAGTAGACATCAGAACACTCCCCAGACAAGAGGTCCGCAGCAGAATTGTTGCCGTGCCGCAGCACCCCTTCCTTCTCAAGGGTTCAGTGCGTGTCAACGCGGACCCGATGGGACAAGCGTCGGATGAGGACATCCTAGCGGCCCTACAATCCGTACAATTGCAGGAGGCGGTCGAGAAAAACGGTGGGCTTGACGCTGACATCGACGATTTGAACTTATCCGTTGGGCAAAAGCAATTGTTTTGTCTCGCTAGGGCAATGCTTCGCCCCAGCACTATCCTCATTCTTGACGAGGCCACCAGCAGGTAAGAAGGGTCTACGATTCCCATGATCGAAGAGTCTATAACAAAACTCGCTAACTTAACCCAACAGCATCGACGCAAAGACGGAAGAGGTCATGCAGCGTCTCATTCGGAAGAAGTTCGCCAACCACACCATCATTGCCGTGGCTCACAGGATCGAAACTATCATGGATTACGACAAAGTGGCTGTTCTTGACGCTGGCAGGCTTGTCGAATTTGATAGTCCCTATAAGCTCCTTGAGAAGCCCGGGTCTGCATTTGGAAGGTTGTACTGCGCGGCGCTCGCCGAGGAGGAGGAGGACGTAGAGAAGGACAGGGCAACTTCCAGTTGAACAATGCGTCGACAATGACGCGGAAATTACCTACCTAGGTAGATCAGATAGGTAGGTAGTGGCTAGGAAGGGGGAGGGCGGAAGATATAAGGTCGTCATATACCTGTACATAGGTATCTTGGGTGGTTCATACTCTGCTACAAATTGAAGCACTGCAAATTCGAGTATGTAGGGCAGCTGTTCGTTGGGCTTGATCACGGCACATAGAACCAAGGTTGGAAGTTTCCAGTCTGGCCTGCCTTGCGTACACAGTATGTTCCTTCGTGTATACACACACGGTACATAGGAGTCATGTTCCACACTCGGTTACGTTGTGTAACCAACGCAACTGCAGGAGGCTTAGAGATGCAGTTGTAGAACCTGCATGTCAGACAAGGTTCCAAGATCTATTGGCCAAAAACCGACTAGCCTATACGGATCCGTACACGTGTAATGTCTGCCGCATAGATTGCAGCTTTATCTGGTAAGCCAAGAAAGAGTGCTGGCTGGGCACACTCCAAATCGATTGTCGTGTGGCCCTTAACGCCCGGGGAGTCAGAGGAATGGAATCGTTACCCCTTGGCAGGCTTCATCATCAGCCGTTTGAGCGGTCGCTGCTCCACCTCTTTGCTAGCCAGAGGCACCTTTGTACGAAGTACCCTCGGTTTGCAGTCTTGGGCAGGTGAGAACTTTGACCTCAACAAAAGGAAGGTGAATGCCGCATTACCCGGATTTTAATGAAACATGCATCGCTAGCGTTGCGTCCGCATAGCGCACGACCTGTCTAGGCCAGTCTCTCAAGACTCGAATTTCATTCGTCGTTACAACCTTTTCGCAGCCACGTAAAAGTTGGCTCGCTTGCAGAGATCAAGCGACGCTTTGAACCGGGCGCAGTGGGACCAGCTACGGATCGACTTCTACCGAGCCTGCTTTCTCATCAATGTCCTCAACTTTGCAACGGTGCTCGCTGCGCTGCCGGTTATTTACGCGCTGCTAGCTTGAACCGTTGTTGTGTAGTTGCAGCGAGCCAACAGGGCAAGGACATTGAACGTGATGCAACTCTTCCCCTTCTGGATTGCCAATTTCGTCGCGGGGACTTGTGTGCAGCATACTCAATGAGCTTGGATCAAACACTTGCCCTTCTCGGAAGCGCGCTTATTTTTCTCCGTGGGTGCCGATTGGCGCCGGACTTATTACCCAGCTTTCCTGCGTCTTTAGGTTAAGGAAAGGTAGCTGGCTTCCTTGAAGGGGCGGCCTAGCACTGATTTTTCACCTGATGCGCGTTATATGCGTCTGCATCAAACTTCTACGATAAATTGTTCAACAACTCGATACGCCAACGGCTAGGTTGGCAAGGTAATGGTGTGGGCTTAGATCAACGATCCCACAACGCTACCTTGTCCATTGTCCAGAAGGAGGCTTCTTGCAATGGACAAGACGCGACAAAACTCGAGCAACCCCTTCCGGAGGAGTCTAAAGCTGTGGCATGGCACAATAAAAATGCCGACGCTATCGATCGCTCCATTGCCTGTCGTCACCTCAAGGCAGGACCATAAGACCCTGTAGGCGGGATGCGAAGCATGCGTTTTGCTTTCAACAGCAGTTCGTCGTGAAACAACACTTCGTCCTTAGAGGTTCCGTCACCTTGGCCTTGCCCTGAGAATCAAACTCGGTGTATCGTAAAAGAGTACCAGCCTATTTACAATCTTCTCGTGAGGTATAACGGGCTGAGCCCGGGAAGAGCCTCGGCAACCCTCGGCCTCCTCTAACCCTGAAGACCCAACCACAAGATGAAGCTATTCCCAAATTGCGCACAGATCAACGCGCCCTTTCCTTTTAAGGGCCCACGACCTTCAGAATTTCTCTCTTTTCCTCCTTCCTTCTCCAAGCTTAGTATACTCGTAGAGTCGTCATCAGCGAGTTGCAATATACTCCCCGAGACCGTCACAAGGTATGGGGACACGAGAATGGACGCCTCTGAAACTTGACCGGTAACCGTCATGACCTGGCCGCAACCATGTCCATCACCATACCGAGTCCTCCTTGTGAGTGGCAACCCCATGCATCAGCCACACAATTCGCTTATGACCCGGACGCTTATAAAGAAAGGTGCCTAACTTTGCTTTTGAATTTCTGGGCTCAATTCGGGATGGATTGCTACATCATTAGCGTTGATTGGGTGCAATCAATAACTTTTAGCCCTAGCGCTCCCACCTCCTCCATTGGACCAAAGGCGGCATGTTATTCGAACGAGCATGTTGCAATGCCAGTGCTTGCCAAAAGTAATAAGAATTCATGACACGCATGACGTTGGCGGGGCAAGCCCGGTAAGGCTGACTCCCAGGTTCTGCTGCTTCTATTTTGGATCCTACACTAGCTACGGATTACACTCCACTCATGTACTACATTAGGGATTCTCCATAACTTGATAATGCCTGGCATGGCGGCTCAAATGCTTACGTCTTGGCGCGGATCAATTTTGGGGTAACTCCCCGGTCTCTGCCGAAAATAGCGAAGGTGCAAGAGCCAGCGCCGTGATGATTGGTTTGCTGATTTATCGCATGCCAAGGAACCGGATACCAGGCGTTTGAGCGAAGCTACGATTTGATTACTGCTTCGAATAGAAAAGGAAACCCACGGCCCAGCTGTTGACCGTCTTACACGGGACCACTCGTCATCATCAATCCTCCTCCCCGACTATTAATGTCTCATTGCAAACTGTATCCGCTCCATCTTGGGGTACAATCGCCGTGGGACACAACTTACACTAAGCCATCACATGTGGGGTAACTCGCTCAGCCACGAAGCTCGGGGTAATACATAGTGTTTGTCCGGGTCAGATGGTGAACAGTGAACAGAGCAATTCTAAATCTGGTTTCGGTCAACGGAGGAACTAACCTACGTAGCTTGATCGGCAAAACACCTGCTTGACACTCCACGATGTCAGACACGGCTGTCATGGAACAAATCAGAGACAACAACAAAGGAATAGCCTCGATCACTAGCCCTTCTTAGCGACGCTAGATCGCCTCGGAGAGGTGTATAAAACAACAATCAATCCTGTTGTGTTCCGTCCCTGAGTCATCAGTTTAACAAACACCAAACATTCATTCAACGCTATCAACACTTCACTTGAGATTTGCAACTCTCTCTCTCTGACATAACACTTTGCTCCAACCTCTTCAACAACCGAAAGTCCCACTTCTTCAAACCGCACTTTCAAAATGAAGTTCCAGCTCATCACCACCGCCGCTGCCATCCTCATCGCAACTGCAGCAGCGCTTCCTACCCCCAACCCTCAAGTGGACGAAGATGGCTTTCAGACCGACGACCTAATTGAGGACGTCAGCATCGAGGCCGTTGAGGCTCGGGATGCTGAGATCCTCGACGCCCGCGCCCCGTTTGACCTTGGGGGCGACGATGACTTCGCAGCCGAGACCATCGAGGTCCGCGACACCGACGCGCTGGACGACCCTGAGCCGTTTGACCTTGGGGGCGAGGAAGATGTTGATGATGAGGCTATTGAGGCCCGAGATCTTGAGCCCATCGAAGCTCGCAACCTCGAGTCCATCGAGAGCCGGGATACTGAACGACTTGAAACCCCCCAGGTGTTCGACCTTGGGGTTGACAATGAGAGTGCCGGGGACGAAAATGCCGAGGACGAGGACGTCGACGTGCAGGACATTGACCTCGAGGATGAGGATATCGAAACTGATTTTGAAACCGAAACTATCCAAGCCCGCAATGAGGAGTCCGGAGAAGCTTCCGACTTCTTCGATGCCGAGGCCGAGACGGACGATACTGCCGAAGACGTTGACACCGACGCTGTCGAGGCTCGTGACAGCGAGAACCTCGACGCCCGCGATGACGCCGCCGAGGGCGAGTATCTTGGATAGAAAAAAGGAGGGTTTGTAAATGGGACAGGCACTTAGGAGTTTAGACAGGGTTGCGTGTGTTGGTTGATTTTTTAGGCTGAAGCCTGGCATTGTTTGAGAACGCTGGGAAAGTTCGATTTCGTCGATATCGGAGTATTAGATAGAAGTTCAACATGTATTTATTTCCTTACGTTTGCTTTCCTCGTCCTTATATTGGATGGTTACTTGAACTCATTCTCCTGCATTATGATTCCCAAGCACCCAAATACTATATATATAATAACTACAGTTTAAAAAGCAGTCAAACAATAGTGGGGAACAAAACGTGCTGCAAAGAAAAAAAACGATCCACCCAGGGGTCGAACCTGGAACCTCCTGATTACTTGGTTATTCAAGATCTGAATATCTCGAAATTGATCGTAGTCAGACGCTCTGCCATTGAGCCAGCGGACCTTGTTGAAAATGGACTACTGGTATTGGTTTTGACAAGCGGTGTGGTACTTTGGAATTCTCGACATCCAAATTTCATTCAGGTAGTTAGCTAACTATACAAAATACGTATCAATATCATATGCGGTGGATCCTAGCCGCCTGTTGGAAGTCCAACATCCACAATTCCACAGTTTACTCACAAAAGATTTTCAGTGGGGGGTCAATGAATTCAGTATCCCTCAGCAGATTGTTGTTGTTCATTGCTCCTTCTCAGAGAATTCGTCTCCTGGTTTTTGCAAAATATATCCTCCCCAAAAGCACCTGAGGTTGCGGGGGCTTGGAACGTCCCGTTCTGTGACTGCTCACATGCCTAGGCCAATGTTTGCTCAATATTGCGGTGGCTTACAGCATCCTCTTCTTAATTTTCCATGAGTCACCGCTCGCCTAAACCATTGTTTGATCCAAGACCGCCAGAGCACCAATTTCGCTTCCAAACTCCTGCCAATTTTTTCTGCGACAAGGAGGCGAATAAAGCAACCGGGAAATATGCTGACCTTTACTTTGACTTTTCCTGCTGAGAATTGGAAGGTAGTGATGAGTGATGTTTGCCCTACACCTTCGTTTACTCTCCGAGTTTCGATACCCTGAACGGATCTCAAAACAGACATGAGACAATTTCATTCTTGATGCAGTTTGGTGTACAAAATGGATTTTGTATTTTCTGAGCTTGATGTTGTTAACGTCTTCGTTCTTTTCGCTGGAATGCCATCCAGCGAAGCTTCTCAAATAGTCCTGCCAGGCGGCGCGTCGCAGGCAGGTGTGAACGAGAGTATGTCCCTCCTGCTCTCTTCATTTAAGTAACGAAAATTAGATCTAAAACTGTATCAACTCTTCTCCCTATTTTCTCCTCTCAGAACAACCGTTGCTCTCTTAGCAAACATGGCACCCGATCTCGCCGAGATATGGCGACTTTGTCTCCATGTTTTCTGCAACCTCAATAATTCAATCCCCTACTTGGCCTTACTCTGGTTGGGCAACCCATTCTTTGGGAACATATTCATGTCGTTTACTTGGCAAGTAAACACCCGACACGGAGTTGAGGTTAAGGCTTTTTTGTTTTCACAACCTTTATTCTACCTTTTTTTTTTGAATTACCGTTTATTGTCTTGAATCGTATGAGACTCTTCGAGGAGATTGAAACGACGTACACGGCCGCTAGGGCGATGGCGGTAAGAACATCATTTAACCTTTAGGTTTTAAGAGAACGGACATTGCAATAACGATGTCGAAAACCTGAAGTGTTGGATTTTTAATGGGCGCGTGGCCGCTTGCGTTGTTTCAATAGTCGAAGTCAGAGCTAAATATTATCAAGGCGAGGCACGCCGAGCCCACAACGTCCAACAACCACAGTCTCGACCCTAGCCAGCTTCACGGGATCAAGCAGCTATGTTTTGACACAAGCTATAACAGAACTCCCAATTCCAACTAGCGTAAGTGCCTCGTTCAAGATTAACAGAACTGTTGGACTTATCTCCCATCTTCCCAAGGTGCGCAAACTTGAGATCCAAAGCGGCGAGGCAGCTTACAAAGCTGACAACTGGCCACCTGGCAATTTAATTATCCCCGCAAACATTACCACCCTGAACTTGGCGGCCACAAGCAGCGCGATCTTGAAAGATATGTTTTTGGGCCGCGCGCTATTGATACTGAAACTACCTCTGATACGTTATCCCGTCACATCAGAAAGGGAGCCTCAGTCCCAGCCACGACCCGCAATGCAGTAAGCGTATTTCTGTTTGAAGAACATGTCCTGAAGACGCTAGACAGGCTACGTATTGACACCTCTGAGTCTATCGCCTTCGCCCTGGACCAGGATGTTCTTCGCGAACACGAATATTTCAAGACCATCCCAGCCGTTTCTCAGTTTTAAGCTTCCCTTGCCTGGCCATGAGCCCATAGTTTTTTTGCCGCATGCTTCCCCGTGACGCGAACGCGAAAAACAAGCACGATGGCGGACGCCTAGTTGATTCCCTTCCTGTGCAAATTGATTTGTTCGAGGTCGTTGTTGCCTATACGATCCACGCCGGAAACGTCGCCCGTGCCGCCGACGATTGCAGCGGTGGCCGGGGCTATGGGCATCGCGTACAGTTTTATCATCTGAGTAGTATTCTGACGAACATGTTTGAGTACAAGGGGAGTATTTGGGCTTAAGAAGCGTGGCTACTGCTTCCTCGTCTCTCTTCGGAACTTATGTTGTCGGATCTGTTCATATCACTATTCCGGTTGCCACTGTTTGGAAGAACTTTCCTACTCCGAGACATCATCGTTGCTCTCAGACATGCACTTCAACTTTCAGTTTCGCCTTGTGGGCTTCTGAGGTAATGAAAGATGCGCAAAATGGTGGGATTACATTTTCGGATCCCTCCACGATGGCCATTTCTTGCTTGTGTTGTCGTGGTGTTCGGACATTAGACCCGTGAACCTTGTTTCTAGGCAGCCAGCCTCCTTAGCTCGATTAACGGAACAAGACTACCAGTAAGATAAGAAAGTAGAACTCATTTCTAAACCTTTTATCTTGTGAAGGAACCGTGGAATCGTGGCTGCTGGTCTTCCAACAGGATGCAACTGATGGAAGCTGAATAGAGCACCACTCGGAGATGCTTGCCGCGGAAACTAAGCACACCTTCCTGTTAGGTTCAACAAATTTCGGAAGCATCGTGTGCTACTTCGCGGGTTCCGATGATCTCTTTCGTTACTACTACCGCTGAAGTACCTAGGGCATTCGGGTCACAGGCGGGCAAGCGGCATCCTTCTCCGCAACTGAGTGCTGGCGTGGTCACTCGGACTTGTAAATGGGGAGATCCGAGTTTTCGGAAAGGTTTTGAACTCTGTCAGATTTTCAAATTCTTAAAGCCAGATGATGGCCGGGTGAACAGGGCCGCTGCCTGCATTGTCCTGAATCACAACAACCGAGCAGTCTTACAACCGCGACCATTCTAATATTGACAACTCGACAACGTGACATCGTCCTCTGGTTTTCTCTGTCGTTCTTCAGCCATGTCCGCCAGCGTGGAACATCCGGGACACCATGGACCACCAACTTTCGGCCGTGCTGGCGTCGTAGGTGCGGGCATCGCTGGCCTCGCAGCAGCCATTGCCCTTCGCCGCGCCGGTTGGGACGTGGAGGTTTTCGAGAGGTCGCAGTTCAAGAACGAAATTGGTGCTGCCATCACTGTGACACCCAATGCCGCCATGGTCTTGCGTCGCTGGGGTTTCGACATGGAAAAGGCGATGGCGATGCTTAACCAGTCGATGATTCTTCGCTTAGCCGCAGACCCTTCCGTCATTCTCGATCAGCAAGAGTATCCCGACGGAGATGGGGTGCTGAAATATGGCGTATGGTCCTTTCACCGGGTGGACCTGCACCGCGGGCTAAGGGACCTTGCAACCGCGACAGCTAATAGTGTGGTTTCCGGGACCCCGGTCCAAATCAGATTGGGGTGCAAGATCGAGGGAATAGACTGCGAGGCCGGTGTCCTGCACGTGAGCGATAGTCGCACCATTCACAAGGACCTACTTGTGCTTGCGGATGGCGCACATGTAGGTGTTCCTCCACCGGCCACCATCTACCTCGGTGCCTAGTTTACCAACACAGTGGGATAGAGCGACCTAATCTCTAAATTTACCGGCCATCCCTGCGAAGCCCGCCGGAACAACAAGTCTATTTATCGTTGGCTGGTCCCCATGGACGTCGTACTGGCAGAAGCTGACATGGGGCAATTCTACCACAGGGAACGTTCCGGTTTTGTAGGGTGGCTGGACCCAGATACTCAAGCTTTGTTGGTCACTTACACTTGTCGCGGAGGCAAGGTACTGAACATCGCTCTCGTTCATGATACGCAGCCTGGCCGAGCTAAGGAGAAGGAGTGGCACTCGCAGGTCTCGACGAAAGAAGTCCTTGCCACAGCCACAAACTTCCACCCGTCGCTCAAGAAGATAGTGTCCATGCCTACTGAGGACGGCATAAACGTTCATCACGTGGTGACAAGATCACCATTGAGCAGCTTTGTTCGCGGCCGCACTGTAGTAGTGGGCGATGCAGCACATGTCATGATGCCCTCCCACGCTGCCGGTGCTGGCATCGCCATCGAGTCGGCAGCTTCTCTGGAAGTTCTTTTCCGAAGAGTGAACGGAAAGGATGACCCGACTGTGAGACATCGCCTCGGGTTGTTCGACAAATTGCGTGTCCCTCGATGCAACCTCACTTTGCTGGTATCCAATAGTCACATGGGGCGACTCCAGGAACCCGGTGTGGTAGATGAAATACGCAAGTTCTACCGGGGACCGTTGCCCACACCTGGTGCCCTGCCGTACTCGAAGCCTTGGATGGACGTTTTGTTCAATCACGACGAATTCTGGGCCGCCGAGGAACTGTTGACAGAGGAAGGCGTTAAGGCGGAGGACCAGACCGCATAAGCGGGGGGAAACTTGCCGGATGACCAGCGAACAGGGGACGAAATTGAGCAGCTAAATTGAGGCGAGAGGATCAGGCCCTATATTCGTACGAGATAAGCATCATACATGCCGCCCTATCAGTCCACTGATGAGTACCAAATGTTGGTCCTTTGCTGTTGGTTTGCTATTGGGAAGCGTGGAACATCCGAGAAACTGGATCCACGTGTCGTTTTTCGAGACCGCGTTCCAAACGGGAAATCAGAAAAAGGTTCATTGCTTGGCTAGGCTTGGCTGAGATGCCTTGAGAGTCTAAGGGCGAGAGGAAGGCAACGGTACCAGCGTGGTCATATATTTACCAACCCATTTCTGCCTCGAGCCACAAGGGGCACATACCGCATTCGGCTCCCAACGGAACGCTAGCGGTGTTCTAGAATTCCATTTTTGGATTTTCATGGACACCCCTCGCATCGAAGCGAGCATGTTGGTGACACGGTTCTAGTCAAGGTCCAGTCGCCGGGCTCGTCCTCCAGTCGTTGATATTACTTTCCCGTTTAGGCGCCCTAATG